TCTCTGTGAGTTCAAGGCCAGCCTGGTCTACATAGTTAGTTCCAAGCCAGCTGGGGCTACAAGGAGACCCTGTCTCAAAAAGAAATGGTGATGATAATGATGATGATGATGATGATGATGATGACAATGATGGATGATGACTGTTGTAGGGGCTGGAGAGGCTCAGCAGTCAAGAGCACTGGCTGCTCTTGCACAGACCCAGGTTTCGTTCCCAGCACCCAGGTGGTGGTTAACAACAATATGTAACTCCAGTTGCAGAGGATCTGACACCCTCTTCTGACTTCAGTGGACTTTGTACAACATGGATGCATTTACATACATCTAGGCAATGCACTATATACATAAAATAATTTTTTTTTAATTAAAAGAAAATGACTGTAGAGATTAGGAATGTGGCTCAGTGATATACAACTTGCTGAACACACAAAAGACCCGGAGTTTGATCCCCAGTACTGCAAATAATAAAATAAATAAGTAAGTAAATAAATAAATAAATAAATAATAGATGTCATTGTAAGAACTCCGCCTTACCCAGGTATCTAAGCCCTGCAGCCCACAGCCAGATTGCTGCTGCTGCTCTCAGAGGCAGAGTGCCTCCACCAGGCCCTCCACCCTGACTAGCTCAGTTCTTGACACCTGACTCACAAATGTGCTGGTACACTCTGCACAGCTCCTTCTCTGTGGTCACTAATTCTGGATCACCTCAGTGGTTTCTCTCTCTATCCCTCTTTCCTTTCTGCTTTTCTGCATTTGGTGTTTAATTTTGTGCCCTGTAATGTTTTTCCCGACTTTTGTTTTTATCTGTCTTTTGCCACCTCCTCTAACTGTGGATCTATCCCAAGAAGTGCTTTTGAATTTTTATTTTAAATTTTTTATCCATTTTATGTCTATCTCCATCTCCATCCCCATCTCCATCCCCATCTCTATCTCCATCTCCATCCCCATCTCTGTCTCCATCCCCATCTCTGTTTCCTGTCTCCATCTCTGTCTCCTGTCTCCATCCCCATCTCTGTCTCCTGTCTCCATCCCCATCTCTGTCTCCTGTCTCCATCCCCATCTCTGCAGAAGCACTGGGATTACGGATGTGTTTGCTGCTGTGTCCAGCTTTGCATGGGCTCTAACGATTGGAACTCTGGGCTTACACTTGGATATCAAGCTCTTTACCCATCTCCCCAGCCCCATATTAATCTTGCAGCAGTCTTAGCTTTCTCTTACTGTCATTAGCACAGGTGCAGTGTTAAGATTTCTTCACCCAGTATGTTCTTTCTGTGAGTAGATGTCATAGAAGTAAAAGATGTTTTACTAAAAAATAAGACTTTCCCTGGGGAAGGGGTTGAGCCTAGTGCCTCAGTAATACAGTAAGGGAGGATTGATGGGTGGCTTCATGTAGTCTTACTTTGTTTTTTTTGTGTGTGTGTGTTTTGTTTTTTGTTTTTTTTGAGACAGGATCACGTTATGTAGCCCTAGCTGGCCTGGAACTCATAGAGATCCCCCTGCCTCTGCCTCCTGAGTGCTGGGATTAAAGGCGTGTGCCACCAGCCAGCCCATGTATACATTTTTTAGAAACACTAAACTGTTACATAGTAATCATGTGGAATTGAGGACACAGTGCTGTTTTGGCACCTGTACACCTTAGGCCATGATCCCAGGGCAGTTAGTCTGTCAGTCATGTGAAACATCGATCGCTTCTTTGTGGTCTTCTAGCTGTTCTGAAATCTACATCAATACATGCTGTTTACTGCAGGGACCCTACGTGTAGAGAAAAAACAGAGCTCACTCCACCATTAAACTGCACTTTAAACTTCAGGTTTACGTTATTTGCAAGTGTTCCAACAACCAATGGTTTGTTAATAAGCTAAGGGAATTCTTAGACTGTGATTCTGTTGAGGCCCAGGAGCCTGGGTTGTAAGTGGGATGTTTGTAGCCAGGCAGGTTAGCAGAGGTGCTGAACAATATACTAGGAAAAGCTGTGGAGTCAGAACCACTTGCCCAGGTATTTTATCTGGCATGCTCTCCTTCAAGTTAGAGAACCTATAACCTGTGGGAAGAGATCTGGGGTCTTGAAGTTCAGAATAGTCCACCTTGGTTTATATACTACCAATGTGGTAGATAAGAGTTTCAGTCTCACTATGTAGTAGACCAGGCTGGCCTGCAGCTCACAGAGATCCCACTGCCTCTCGAGTGCTGGGACTAAAGGCATGCGCCTCCACAACCCGCCTGAGCCCCAGATCTACAGCAATGGTCTTAACTCTGACCTCACATTGGCCCATCTGCAGGAGAGTCCAGCGCTCCCTTCAGCCAGCTCTCTTTCTGGTGCTGGGGAGCCGGCTGCTGAGCGCAGTGGTGGCGCTTCCCTGCCACAGATGAGGGGCTGCTTTCGTCCTCAGCGCCGCCAAAAAATATTGTTCCCAGGTTCCTTTCTCCTAGATGATAAGTTGCTGTCTTTATTTATCTGTATTTGCTTATGCAGACCCATTTAGATTTTTAACTCATACTCCTGTAAATCTCTTCACAAACCTTTCTGCAAGCCTGTCACTCTTCGCCTGCTCTTGCATGCCGCCTCTAGACTCACATTGTCACATTCTACACAGGTGATATTCTTGAATTTCACGGTCCAGAAGGCACAGGGAAAACAGAAATGCTTTACCATCTCACAGCCCGGTGCATACTTCCGAAATCGGAGGGCGGCCTGCAAATCGAGGTCGTATTCATCGATACAGATTACCACTTTGACCTGCTGCGGCTTGTCACGATTCTTGAGCACAGACTGTCGCAGAGCTCTGAAGACGCCGTCAAGTCCTGCCTGGGGCGGTTCTTCCTGGTGAGCTGCAGCAGCAGCACGCAGCTGCTGCTCACGCTCCACTCCCTGGAAGCGCTGTTTTGTAGCCACCCCTCTCTCTGCCTTCTGATTGTGGACAGCCTGTCTGCCTTCTACTGGACAGACCGCGCCAACGGAGGGGAGCGCACTGCCCTGCAGGAGGCGACGCTGAAGCAGTGCTCGCAGCTCCTGGACAGGCTGGTCCGCGAGTACCGCCTGCTGCTGTTCGCAGCGACACAGAGCATTATGCAGAAGGCCTGCGAGTCAGCGGAAGAGTCGTCTGAGACACGCCCAAGCAAAGTGGACATGGACTACAGGCCCTACCTCTGTAAGGCCTGGCAGCACATGGTGAAGCACCGTGTGCTCTTCTCCAGAGAAGACAGTCCCAAGAGCAGTGGCCGGTTCACGTTGGTTTCTCGTCATCTAAAAAGTAACCGTTTACAAAAACATTTTTTTATGATCAGAGAAAGTGGGGTTGAGTTTTGTTGATATATATCATAAAGTAGGGTTTTGCAAGCTATAATGCAGGTCTTTAAAAAGTCTTTTATAGGCTAAGGTGGTTTGATTCCAAAGTTTTAAACACTGGGGAAATTTAGTAATATTTCTGTACAGAATGGATTTCTTAAGTTAGGACAGTAAAACTGCAAACTGTTCTGATCCAAGCCATTGAAGATCAATCAAAGTAATATTAAACTTGTACTGAGCTTCTTTTAAAACTGAATAAAAAATGTACACTTTTCAGACTAAATAAAATAGACATAATGTTATGTCACATTTGGGAGATTCAGTTAAGTACTCTAGGAAAGTTTAAGTACATGTTTTACACACTTCCTCCAGGAGGCTGTGGCTGGAGAATGCAGAAGTGTTACTTGTATACAAGGAGCTGCAGGACTCTGTTCATCTGCTTTCCACACAAACTGGAATGCTACAGTGCCCCCGCCCCCATATACACACACAAACACACACACACCCATGTGTGTCACTGTGGCTCGGGCTGGCCTTCAGTCCACAATTTGGCTTCAGCCTCTGGGACCCTTGAATCACAGGCCTACCATGGCACCTTGTAGCCAGAGCATTTAACCTGAGTTACCTTTGAATTCAAGATGGTTTCCATTATGGTTGTGTTTCTGTATAATTTTTCAAACACAGGGAAACTCAGATAGCTATTTAAGGAAGTCAAGTTTATGTTTAAATGTTCATCTCATTAATAGACAACTTCTGAAACTGTATCAGAACTATATATTACCAGTGTTTTCTTACCTGTCCAGGATAGTCAGACATACACACCTTGAAACGAACCAGATCATTTCCACCGAGGGCTGAGGCAGCCTGGTTGCTGTGGTCCTGCGAAGCCCCAAATAGGGAGCGTGCACTGCAGGATCCAGGTGCCTGCAGAGTCCAGAAGAGGATGTCCTGGAACAGGCCTTAGTGAGCCACCCAGCATGGGTGCTGGGAACTGAACTCAGGGCCACTGCAAGAGCAGTACTGTTGTGCCCAGTTCGCAAGACACCAAAGACCACCAAGGGGCTGACCAATGCAAACACACAAGGGGTTTTTTATTGTTGCAAGCTTAAGCTTCGGCCCACTCTGTCACCAACCCAGCAGATCTCAGATGTGAGACCCCCTTGCTTTGGGAGACAGAGGTTTTATAGGTTTATTTCAGCAAGTTCAGCAAGTAGGGGGTCTCCAGCCTGGCAAGTATCTGATTGGTTGCAGCCCAGTGCCAAACCATAAACTGCTGCCTTCAGGA